ATCTGTAAAATATAATTATATAGATATATATTTTTTTTTTTTTTTTTTTTTTTTTTTTTTTCCCTTTTCAATTATAAAAACTAAAAATGCTGCAATATTTAACAATGCATTATACAAAAACAATACATATGATATGGCATACATTACAGGACACATCTAAAGTGTCTGAAGCGCTTTAAATATTTGTCAGTACACCTGCAGTATCATCTTGTAGTTGCATCGTGATTTGATTCTCATTGAAGATTTTTTATTTTTATTTTATTAGTTCTTTCAAGAAGTTAAAGAAGCAGGAACAGAGACAAATTATTTTTAAAGAGATAGAAGATCTTGTGAGGTACACACTTGGAAAAAGTTGTTCTTCAAGACTGAAGCTCTGGTGAATTTGATCTGGTAGGTTTGTGAAACAGTTAGAAACCCTAAGCTCCATAAAACATCAAATATATTTTATGTTTTGTCTCTCTCTAAGGCACACAATGTTACTTGAACCCAGAAACTCAAGTGCCCCCATTAAAACAAAGCCTTTTGTACAAACAAGATCATTTAAATGCAGAACAACTTACATTCTGTACAATACAAACACACACACAAGCAGCGCAGCTGCACTTAAAGGATGGTTAATCTGCTCAGTGTGAACAGATGCTGCTTTTACAGATGTTATCGCTGATTCTTTTTTATAGCAGACACGCTGAAATGCACACAGCTCGTAATTTTAAGTCTGAGTGTGCCACTGCTCCTCTGCGAAGTCATTACCAAACAGGCCATGCTTTCTGAGGACTGCCAGGAACACGCACACGGACAGAAACAGAGAGCATCTGTTTGACCTAAAGACACAAACACTCTGCTGTCTACACACACACACAAAAGCACAGAGCTAAAAACATCCAAATATTAAATACAATAAAAAAACACACAAATATTGCCTGTTTAAATGTGAGAAAAAAACAATAAAAACGAAACAGCAGCAAATATTTAGTTTGACCAAACGCCTGCTACAGACGATGCTCTGCTGCCGCCAAAGAGTCATACTCACCTGAGGCAACACTCTCAGCTGACTGATGCTGAAGGGACTAAAACCCTGAGGAGCTGCCCTCTGGTCCTTTACAACTCTCACACACACACACAAACAGCACCGGATAGCATCCTGTTCCAAACAAGCTGCGCTCCTCCTTTCTTTCGGCTTCCGTTTTCCTCGTTTCCCCTCGCACACACAGTTGCCCCAGTGTGTGTCTCCGTCTCCCACTCGCCCTCCCTCGCCCTGATCAAGCCAAAGCCCTTTCTCTTGCAGGTTACCACGGTGATCCGGGTCTCTGTACGGCCGAGCTACTCTAGTGGAAGAATAGGTAGTGGCGGGGGCGAGGGAGCAGCGGAGGAGACGCAGGAGTAGTGAGGGTGAGGATGAGGAAGGAGGAGGACCAAAATAGGACTAGAAAAATACAATTAGCATCTGAGAAAAGAAGAAGTGGGCAAAGGGGATGTGGAACGGTGCATATATGGACAAAAATAAGCCAAAAAGGAATACAGAAAGTAGAGGCAGACACCATCATCTTGTGTGTTTATCTGTCAGGAAATAAAAGAAGCTGATTTTTATTTACACCCCATTTACTCATCCCTCTGCTGCAGTCATGGAGCGGCAATCTTTTTCTTTCATCCTTTCATCAAACACAGAGCTGTGTTCATTTAGTAGCTTTCTAGTCCTCGAAACACAAATGAGTCCAGCACACTGGAACAACGTATACAACTCAAAGCACCTTACCCCCC